TGCGAAGCAACCAACATGAACCTGACACAACTCCGGGAGGCAGTAGAAGACAGGAGGGCCTGGCGTGCTCTGGTCCATGGGGTCACGAAGAGTCGGACACGACTAAACGACTAAACACACACACATTTTTTTACGGTTTTGTTATTGTTGTAAACCGCCCAAAATGGGCCTGGCTGCCAGATGGACGGTATATAAATCAAATAAATCAATAATAAATTCTTGTAGAAGCGACTGTGTAGGCAGACAATGTGTTGTTCTCAGGAGCTAAGCCAGCCTTGCCTCAGTTTCCCTGCAGCTGTTTTGCTGCCAAGCTTTTCACTTCCCGATGTCCACATTTCCTAAGCTGAAATTGGCACATTCACATGAAAATCTTCACTATGTCCGTGGGACTTCCTTCCAAGTTAAGAGTGTTATAGGATGGCTCTTTTACGCCTCCTCAGTTCATTTAGTTATGATACATTTTCACTTTTTGACATATTGTGATTTTCTGCCATGTTATTTCTTGTTTAGTCATTAAGTCGTGTCCGACTCTTCGTGACCCCATTGATGAGAGCACGCCAGGCCCCTCCTGTCTTCCACTGCCTCCCGGAGTTTGGTCAAATTCATGTCGGCAGTTTCAGTGACACTGTCCAACCATCTCGTCCTCTGTCGTTCCCTTCTCCTCTTGCCTTCACACTTTCCCAATTTCCACACTTTCCCATGTGAGGAGCCTAAAACTTTCCCCCCTTACAATCCACACAGGGAGCTCTGGTTTTGATACAGGTAATTTTGATGCAGGTAAAGCTTTCATGAGAAGTAGCTCCAAATGCAAAACATGAAGCATGTGGAGGGCGGCTCAGCCAACTCAAGCAGGCGTCTGTGTTTCCAGTTTGGGCTTTTACGGTTCTCTCCTCCCCCCTGCAACTTCCTTTTAGAAAGTATACAAAAATAGCTTGGTGATCACGTCATACATGCTTTGCAATGTGGAATACAGGAGAGTATGTTCTAAATCCAGCCATATTAGACAATAGCCATGCAGAAGAACGGAAATCTCATGAAAGCTGGAGCAACCCCAAAGTTTCCAGAATTCCTTCACCTCCTCTCAAAATCCTTTAAAACATTTTTTGGCGGGGAAGGGAGGGGGACACCACAAAACAGTCCCATAAGAACTGAGCCTGTCTCACAGAATGCTGACTGGTTCTTGGGGGGAAGACCCCAGAAACCTTGTGAGATATGGAATGGAATGGAAAGGAATAGAATGGAATGGATGGAGCAAATTAAGTTCCCAAAGGTGATGGATGGATTTTAAAGGGCTCGTTCATACAGGGGTGGTGTCCCTGCTCATTCTGTGATTGTTATGCATTGTTCTGTTATTTATTTACTTATTTATTGTTCAAGATGTGAACAGATCATGGTGGTGTTGGCATTCACTTACATGGAGGGTGTTTGTTTCTAGAGGTACTGGGATGTATTGGATGGTCTCGGTACCGCCTGTCCACCCAATTCTGAAATTGCTCCCCAACATCTCACCCCTGAGCACAGAGGGTTATCCACTTTTCCCTACCTTTTCTTAAAATAAATAAATAAATGCAAAATCCTCTGATATAGGTGAAGAAAACGGAACAGGAGCCGCAGTGACGCATGGAGGGGGTGGAAACTGACCAGCAGAAAAACACCCGTAAGGAAATGTCATCAAAAGTGCACAGATCAGCACATAGGAATGCAGCCCTGGGGTCCCCCCTGTGAGCCGATGGTGCACTGCAGGACACTGAGCGAAGCAGAGCAAACACACCACTGCATGTCAGGCAGTTTAATAGAAAACACACACCCAGAAATCTCCCTCTTCCCCTTCACCTCGTTGACGTTCATTTCAGTCTTGCTGGGAAGCAAGGAAAGCTGAAGTTCACCATGGACGGGCTCTTGGTCAGCTTGTCCCACCTTTGATTGTTCCCCCTTGGGTGACTCGCCGGGAATTCAGACTCATGATGGAGTCTAGCCTTCCGACGGCATTGCTCTTGGCTCCCCTGATACCCTGAACCCCATCTCTCCCCTTAGTTTTTTGTGTTTGTTCATTGAGATAATCTGCCCCTACCCCATGTAGATGCCTTTGTGTCCAGAAACACCCATAGTATGGATGCCCAACAGTGGGATCTAGTGTGTAAACTGTCTGAAGTGCGAGTATCTGAAGGAGTGTACTTGAGGTTGGTGGGTGTTTTCCTCGTCTTCAGGCCCTCCTAATTCTGCCCCTCCATCCCTTTCCAGGCTCCTCCTCGCACTCCCTGCACTATGTCTACACTGCTATGTCTGAGCCCAACCAGGGGCTGCCCCAGTTCATCTCGGTGGCGTATGTGGACGGACAGCTCTTCAGCCACTATGACAGCGTCACGAGAAGGAGACAGCCTCGGGCGGCCTGGATCAAGAAAGTGGAGGAGGACATCCCCCAGTATTGGGCCACCCACAGCCAGAGAGCCCGAAACCATGAGCACGTGTTCAGAGGCAACTTGGAGGTCGCAAGAAACCACTACAACCACAGCAGAGGCGAGTGGAGGGTGGAAGAGGCACTCCAACCATTCACTCTTGTCCCTTCCAGGGGCGGGAAAAGAAAGAAAAGTTATTGCCCCATGGGAGCTGTGGGGAGTGTGTTGGGGGCCTCCAGTTCCAGCCTTAGTAAACACAGGAAAGGAAATTAATTTGTCTGGACGCAGGGAATCACTACATTCTTTCCCCCTTTTTCTCTTTCTCTTTGTTCTTTTCTGTTTTGAACAAGGAAGGAGACATGAGCCCGGAAGAGCTGTGGATTCATTCTAGGGACAGGCAATTTGGGGGCCCAGCCCTCTCTGAGGAAATGGGCTGAGCACCTGACAAAATGTGACAGTGATTCCCAACATCTTAATTAAAGTTTGTTGGGTGGGGCAAGATCTTTCATTGTGTGTGGGATGGGACAAAATGGCACCATGTATATTTCAGTAGGAGCTGGCGATCTGATGTCATGGGGGCGGTGAATCCAATTCAGGTTTTAGTCTGAACCTTAAAGGAGTATCTTAGGTAGTAGGAATAAGGATCAGCACTTTGGATGCCTCCAGTAAAGTTCTGACTGAAACCCAGAGTGGATCTGACACCCTGCAACAGCAGAACCTCCACTGTCTCCTGATTTCTGTTTACATTAACAATGTGGTCTGAATTTAAAGACATAAACATAGACCTAACTCTCCCACATCTTGGCACACAGAGACATGCACAAAGTCCTCACTTGCTGCCTGACCCACAAAGATGTGCACATTTCCTGGCCCAGCCTGTACCGGCTCATATCCTCTGCTTCCGCAAATCCTATGGGCCTCAGGATGATTGTGGGGCTGCTGGATCCAAATTGTCAGCCAGGCTTTTTGCCCAGCCTGAATACCAAAAACGTGAGCCAGCTGACCCCTGGCCAGCCTTTGCAAAGTCCAAACATTTTCACAGAGGTCACGATTATCGCTCCTGGTTCCCAGTCCGAATTGGGGGGCTCTGTTTTCCATGAATAGACCTCATCTCCTCCTGCCTCTCTGATTTTTTTCTGGGAAGCCCCAACAAAGATCAGCCAGCCTCACTCACCAATTAACAGCGATTTTAATCGGATTCTGTGGGAGAGTCAATAACTCTGGGCCTGTGGGGCCATTCTTTGTCCGGAGGGTTTGCCAAAAGAAAATACCTGCGACAATTTCAGTCTGGTCAGCAGTGGTGTTTGTTTGTGTCCCATCTTCTCTGGTGTATGTTTTGGGGAGAATTCAGGCAGTCGGTGTCCTTCAGGGGCACTTTATGCTGGGAGCAGCTGGCAGCCATCTTAGGTGAGGAGTGCCTGACTTTAGGCCAGAGCACAAAAGTTTTTTTGCTTTGGGGCAAAGCGGATCTCCTCCCCACTTTCCCCCAAACCCTCTGCCCTTCTCGTCTTGGGCAAGATGGAGCCCCTTTTCCAAGCACAAGCTTCAGAATGTGTAGGTTTTCCTTCCTCTAAGTAGGTGGTCCTGAGTTGGTGGAGGAAAATGGAAAAGCTTCAGAATGTGTAGGCTCTGTTATTCACCCCCCCAGTGTGGGTCTATTTTTAGGGGTTCACTCCATGCAGGTGATGATAACCTGTGAGCTGAGGAAGGATGGGAGCAAAAGAAGTCAATACCTTTTTGCCTACGATGGGAGGGACTACATCAGCCTGGACACAGAGACCCTCACCTGGACGGCCGCCGATCCCCCGGCCCAGATCACCAAGAGGAGGTGGGAGAAGGATCCGGCCCTTGCCCAGAGGTGGAAAGCCTACCTGGAGGGGGAATGCATCGAGTGGTTGCAGAGATACCTGGAGTACGGGAAGGAGACGCTGCTGAGGACAGGTGAAGGATGATGGCAGGGGGCACAAGAAGGGCTCCTTCTGGGGAACAGGGGCCATGTTCTCTGCAACGCCTCCTCTCCCTCTTGCTTTCCTCTCTGGTCCCTCTGTTGCTGCTGCTTCTTTGTCAAAACGGAACGAGGCTGCGATTTATCGCCCACTTTGGGTGCCTGTGGGGTGATGATGAAGGTTCACTATGGGGTGCCACTATGTAATTACGTGTGGTTGTCATGATTGATCCAGAGTAGACGCGGGAGCTTCATATTCATCTCCCAGGAGGTAGGAATATGAAGGATTCCAGCACAGGTCTCCCAGTGGTCCACTCTCACCTCCAGAACCAGCCTGGTCCTTGCAGCATGCGTGTCTGATGGCGGCAACATCACACAACATTTGCGGACATCGTCGAGTCTTGCTGCTCAGCTGCTAAGCGGTCAGTTGTGGGGAGAGGCGAGTGCCTGTGGGATGGTGTCTGCAATCGGGTGAATATCACTGCCATCGGACGTACACGGTGCAAGGAGCCTGGGTGAGTGGGCTGGACTGGTTCTTGGGGCTGGGAATGGACCCCTGGGTTGGAGCACTTCACATTCGCCTCCCCCAAGAGATGAATGCAAAGCTCCCATGTCTAATCCAGAGCAGCCCTGCTGGGTGTTTCCTGGGGTGACGTTTTCTGTGGCATCTTCACCTGAGTTTTGCATTGTGGTCTGTGCTACAAATGTTCCCTCTCCTTTTGTTGTCTCTCTTCTGCATTTTTCTTGTTTAAATTTTCTTTTAAACATTTTCCTTCAGCACGATCCCAGGTCAATGCCACACCGCAAGGGTACACTCTGGGCAGAATGAACTGGCCGTCAAGGGTCCCGTCCCTTGAAGAGTGACCCAAGTGAACTGGCCGTCAAGGGTCCCGTCCCTGGAAGAGTGACCCAAGAGAATGAGGAGGGTTTTTTTTTTTATCTGATGAGGCTGCTGGCTTTAATGCCAAGATTCACTAAAGAATGAAAGGATTCTCAGATAGAAAGGAGCTTCAGCTACAGCCTCTTCCTGTTGAAGGAGGAGACTTTGAGAGCCCCTCTTCAATCTAACTGTCCAAGGGATTGGACTCAGTTCATCCAAGGGGCGGGGGGTTCTTCTGCCAGAAGCCCCAAACATCTTTGGTTGCAAATGGGGATGTCCTCCCTTGACACCCAATGTGAGGGTTCACGACGTGAACCAGAGAATCCGCATCTCAGAGATTCCCTCCCAGGATAGGTTGGTTGGGTGCAAACGGGTGACGGGAACAAGACCCCTTCCTGCTCTCCAGAGACACTGTACGTCCCTGCCAGATTCCACATTTTTGACTACAAATGGGGATGTCCTCCCTTGACACCCGAATCCGCATCTCAGAGATTCCCTCCCAGGATAGGTTGGTTGGGTGCAAACGGGTGACGGGAACAAGACCTCTTCCTGCTATCCAGAGACACTGTCCATCCCTGCCAGATTCCACATTTTTGACTGTTTGGGGAACAGACCCGCTCCCTCCATTTCTGGAGACCGCATGAAGTAGACACAAATGCACACCTGCCAACCCTTACCAACATATTTTTCAGTTCCTAGCAGGGGCTGTTTTTTGGGGGGTTAGGGGTTAAGTGCAGGTAGCTTTGCTCCTCTTTAGTTAAGGTTCTGTGATCACCGGTATTGAACCAAAGTGCCACTGGTGGGTATTTTCCACAGCAATTCAGTTTTTTTGTCGCTTGGGGAGCAAACCAATGAACTGAGATATCATTTGGTATTTTAAGTGATATGAAGAAGCCTCGTAGTGCAGTGGTTAAACTGCTGTACTGCGGCCAAATTTCTGCTCACAGCCTGGGTTCAGTCCTAGATAGCCGGCTCAAGCTTCGCTCAGCCTTCCATCCTTCCAAAGTCAGTAAAGAAAGTACCCAACTTGTGAGGTGGAAGCAATGTGTAGCCTCCCTAATGAAATTGTAAACATCTTTTAAGCTTTATGGGGCAGTAGATAAGCAGCACACTTTGCTTTTTAAATTCACCAATAAAACTTTAAAAAAAGAAAGCTTCACTCCACTCCCTGGAGAGGAGGGAGAGAGGACAAGATGTAGAGAAATGTAGGCAGAGAGGAAGGAATGGCCCAAATAGGGTGGCTTCAAGGTATGGTGTGGCTTCTTGTCCAGAAACCGCCTAATCCTTGAGTGTGGATGCAAGGATTGCTTTACATCTCAGACATTTATTTCAAGAGACACAGTTTAGCCCAGACTAGACCAGGAGAACTTCCCTGTAAAGAACTTTGGGTGCCTCCACTGATGCTCATTTTGCCATTTTTGCAGAGCCCCCAGTAGGGAAGGTGACCCGCATGTTCCTCTCAGAAGGGAGGGAGTTGCTGGTCTGCCAGGCCCATGGCTTCTACCCCAAGGAGATCGAAGCCACCTGGAGGAAGGGCGGGGAGATCATGGAGCAGGACACCTTCCGGAGGAGCGTCGCTCCCAACGCCGATGGGACCTACCACACTTGGCTCAGCATCGAGATAAATCCTGAAGACAGAGACCTCTACCGATGCCACATCGATCACGCTGGCCTGGCTGAGCCTCTGGTCTTGGCCTGGGAAGTGCCTGGTGGTGAGCAGCTGCAGGGGAGGGAAGGCCCTGGGGTGGGAGAGGAACTTTCGCACGGGATGGGCCTGAAAAAAGGAGCACCATCCTGGGCAAAAATTCTCTGCAGAGCTATAGCGTGTTCTGTACCAAAAGAGAGAGAGAGAGAGGTGCTCTTCTGTGGGGAGGGAGGAAGGGGTGAGATCTTTTCAGGGAGTTTGGAGCCATCCATGGCTCTTAGTCAGGGCACTGATGCCTTGATTAACTCTTGGTTCAAACAATATGCCTTGGTCGGTGAAAGGTTTTAGGAACTCCTCTGGAAGCCTGCAGTGCCCGACTCTCGAGCAGGGGCGGGTGGGTTGGCTTGGAGGAAGGAAATGGCTTTGGATCTGGCCCAGGGCAGGGAGGGATGCAGTTCCATTGACAGAGCCTCTTTTCCCCCCACATCTGAGAGGTCCCTGGTTCAGTCTCGGCACCTACTTCTGAAACTCTCAGGACCTCATGGTGGGGCCTGGGAGAACCTGCTGCTTCTCAGAACAGCCATGAGTTTGCCTCTTTTTGTTTTAGATAATGTGAGACACATCGTGGGAATCGTCTTTGGGGTCCTGGCTGCTCTCCTCCTGATGGCTGCTGGGGTTGTCTTCTTTCGCAGCAAGTAAACCCTGAAAACACTCATTGGTGTGGGAGATGCCCATGAAAACTTTGTTCTTATATCCAAAGGTCAAGGATATGGATATTATTGCTTCTGTAAGATCAATGTGGTCATATGATGCCATCTTTTATTTGTTCACCTTGAAAAGGGCATCCAAAGTGTAATTTTCCATCCTGAACTCATCATCCCAGTCTTCTTATGTTTTAGAAGCCATTTCTGGGGCTTAAATAACTCTCTGAGGATGTTGCAGTGAAATCCAGGTCCCCAAATCTGAACTCTCCTTGAATGGAAGGCAGCTGAGCTTCATCAAGTCCAGCCAGATTTTCGCCTACACAGAAACATATTTTGGGGGGGATGGGATTCTAATAGTTCATGGATTTCAGCCTCCATAAATATATTCGCCCTAATTTAAAGGGGCTTTTCTTTCCATTGAGGAGACCATTACCTTTGATGGTCGAGCCTGTCATTTCCCCTCCCGTGATTCCGTGCCAACCCTAACTGGAGCTGTCAAAACCCTGAATGTGGGTCACAGCTTTCTGTTTGAGGATCCGGTTATGTCGATTTTTTTCACAGTGGCAGTACCAGGACAAATGGAAAGTGTTCCCCCGCCCCATCTCAGTTTTCTACAAGATAAAGAACAGTCTGCCTCCTATTAAGGCTACAGCTCTAAATTTGCATTCAGAGGCTTTAAGGTCTGTCCTGATCTCTGGATCCTTCCAAGAACTGAGATTAGGAAACTCTCAAGAAAACAGCCTTGGCTGTCACTCCACATTGTTGGCTCAGCCTTCGTAACTTAGTCCCAAACCGCGAAGGGTTTTGTAGGTGAGCATCTGCACCTTGAACCTGATCCAGGGATGCAACAGGGAGCCAGGAGAGGTGGGCCAAGGCTTGCTCGCACTCACCACCCCTCTGGCCCCTCCTGGAAACGAGCCAAAATAAAACTGATACAAAGGTCCGAGAAGTCAATTCGTATCATCCATTTCGAGCCACCCAGAGACCTTTGGGTAGAGTGGGCGGCATATAAGTTAAATAAATAAATGAATGAATGAATGAATGAATGAATGAATGAATGAATGAATGAATGAATGAATGAATGAATGAATACATACATACATACATACATACATACATACATACATACATACATACATACATACATACATACATACATACATACATACATACATAAATAAATGGGAGATAAATCCGTCAGAGGTCTGCTCAGCCTGGTCTACCATAGTTCAAAAAACGCTGGCACAGTATGTGTAGCAGGGCTGCCTTTGGGGCCGCTAAAGCTTTTGACAGGGTGTCATTTAGAAAGCATGGAAATTTCAGAGGAACTGACTTGTGCCCATAAAATGGGGAAGCTGCTTATTAATACAGATTCTTAGCTTTTTAAAAAAAAAACAACCCAACCCTAAGCCTTGGTCCTTATTTTAGGCATTCCCGTGTCTTGTGTCCTGCCTGCCTTCCTCTTTGCCAGAGGCAGGGAGGGCTGAGGGAGTCCCTTCGGATGGAGGCCGGCTTCTCCAGCTGCATGCACGCTTTGCTTTGCATGCACGTGTGAAGGCAGATGCGAGAGGTCCTTTGGCGCGCGGGAGATGGGGTGGGGACACGGGCTGTGCCTTCCTCCCTGCCGACTCAAAAGGGGAGCCGCCGCTTGTGGGAAGCCCCCTTCCTGGACCTGAAAGGGGGAGGGAGAGAAATTTGATTCCTTACGAGCAGGGAAAGCAGCCCTAGAGATCGCTAGGATTTGGGGCAGAATTGTTTGTTTGTATGGCGGGGGGAGGACAGCCCTCCTCCCACAAGGAGGGACCCGAAGCCACAGGGCTCTGCTTGGCCCCTTTTGCCTGGCCTTGACGGAGGGGGGGCTTTCCCTCAGGGCAGCCACTGCCTCCTAGATGGGGGGGCAGGTATTGCAAAGGCCCCCCCTCACCCCACAGGTTCCGTTGCCGATCATGAAAGCGTTCTCACCAAACGCTTCCAAACCAAAACCCGTCCCTTGGAAGCAGGTCGTCGCGCTCCGACGTGTGGCGGGTCGGTCGTTACTTTTGGGGGGGGCACCGTTTCCCCCACTGCGGGCACAGAACCAGACTCAGGAAACGAAGCGTTCCTTTTCCAGCCACCGTTTTTTTAACTTTTCCTTTTCTTTTTCAAAATGGGAAGCGCTGCTCTCCCACCTCAGGCACCGGAGGTGAAGCAGGTCCTTCGCCCCCCCCCCCAAAAAGCCCAGCTTCCCCCGCTGAGCGCCAATACAGCTACAGTCTATTTCTCTTTCCACCTCGTCATAGCCCCCACCCCTTTCCTCGTCGGTGTCGCCGGCATGCCGGTTCTCTCTCCTTCCCTCCCAACCCCTCCATCTTCGCTCCCGACGAGAGGATCCGGTTTGAGTCCGAAAAAGCCACCAACTTGCTCTTTCCCTTTCCAGCCCTCAGACGTTCTCGCTCTCTCTCTCGGCATAGCAACTACTGACTACATCCTAACTCTTTCAGCCTATTGGTCCAGTGTTTTCCCTTCCACCAATCCTGGCAGTTCTGTCTGAAACAGGCTGGGGTTGAGCTCGCGCTCCTTAGCGTTCGGAAGAACTGAGGCGACGGTTGTGGGGAAATTAACCGGCGGACTTAAACCCGGAGGGGGGAGGGGGGGAGAACGAGGTTCGGCTTTAACAACGAAATGGGGCTGCCCGGCGCTCCTGCCTTGCTCCTGGGGGCGCTGGCCCTCCTCTTGGGGGACTGTGAGAGTGAGTAACGTGGGAAAGTGTGTGTGGAGGGGGGAGAACCGCAGAAGTGGCGTCGAGCTCTGACTGGGCGAGGGACATCCGGAGTCGCTCCCTTTCTTGGATCCGCTTACCTGCTGACCGTTCAGGCTTTTGTCCTGATGGATAAACACCTTTCAGAGGGTTTTGGGTGGCGGGAGAGGTCCGGGAAGGGTGTGCGTGTCCGTTCCGCAGCTTAATCCGAAGCTAATCCTCTTAGCGATGCACGCTTCTCAAGGGTTTTGTAGGCTGAAAAAAAAATCTTCACTTCTGTTCAACTTCGGAGCAACTCCCTTTCCCCGAAATGTCGGCGTAGTATTAGACAGCGAGCCATTAGGGGGGCGACCTCTTTGGATTCTCTGGGTCCTGCGGTCGTCTGGACGAGGCAGCCCCTGCATCCAGATGGGAGTCAGATCGAGTTCAGATGTGGGATAAAGGTTAGGGTCCGGGGAGCACAGAGGGGCGGAGTGGTTGTGTGTTTGTGTGTCTCCTTTGGTGCGGTGCCAGCCCCGCACATCAGGATGGTCCTAAATTGGAATGGGGGCTGGAATGGAAGAAGTATCTTGCCAGTGAGATGAAAGTATTCAGGTAAGGTAGAGAAGGGCTTTGGATGGAAGTGGGAAATCATGCTTTAAATCAACACCAGGTCCCCTCGGTTTCCTTGGATTCGACAGGGAGCAGATCCCAAACCACCAGTAAATCACATAGCCCATCTGTCATCACAGAGTGAACTGCAGGGGCGTTGGACACTGTTATGGCACAAAAACATGGGTCTGAGGTAATGCACTTTTCTGGCTTATCCATCATTATGTGCTGTTGTAGTGCAAGAAGCACCAGATTTGTCATACCATTTCTTACACTCAAGTGTGACTTCTGCGTTGGTGGTGACTTCAGATTTATTCTCTGTAAAATTCATACTGTCCCAAGATGACCTATTTTTAAATTTCCTGGATCCAGCTTTTCTTTTCCTATGGAAACGAAAGCAGTCATTTTTTTATCAATATGCAAAGGCTTAATTGGATGGAGTTGCTATTTTCTCAAATGTGTCATCCCACTGAAGTTTTGAGTTTCGGTCGTGTTGTGGATTCAGTTCTGTAGGCAGGGCAACAAAAGTCCTTTTTTTGGACAAAATGCTTTGCTCAACAATAACAACAGATTCTGCCTCTTATTACAACAAATCCCTCTTTAGTTGTAGAGGAGTAGAATTTAATTTAATTATTTTATTTATATCCCGCCTATCTAGTCAACTCAGGACTACTCTAGGCGGCTACTCTAGAATGGGCATCTGTCCCTCAGTATCTTCAGCCAAGGAGGCAGATGGTACACTTTGAGGGGTGCCCCTTAAAAACATTGAAGCTCCCACAATGCCCTGTTCTGGAAACTATCCACCCACCTTGGAGACCCCAACTCCCCCCTTCATATTTCACAGTTTCAGAAGTATTAATCTAGAGTAGTGTACCCTTCTCCTCATATACACTCACCACAATATCACTTAAAACAGGAATCCCCGAACTTTTCAGCGTAAGGGCCACATCATATATTTTCCACATTTTAGAGGGCCAAAGGAGTGTGTACCTGCTCACCCCCCACCAGCCAGTCCACACCCCCACACTCATGCCCGCATGCCCACCTGCATCCCTGCCGGCCCACATGCGCGCACACAGGAACCTTGAAACGCACCCCCACCCACCCGCATGTATACCTGCCTATAGCCATGCACACATGTGGGATGTGGTCCACAGGCCATAGTGTGGAGACCCAACTTAAAAGAAAGGAAAAAGCTGACCATTCAGGAACCACAAGCTGGATACTCAGTTTTACCTGGGATTGAATCTGGGACCTAAGCAGAGTTTTGCTACCAATATGCCATGAGGCTCTTGAACAGAATCAAGAGAAAATAGATGGTGCTGTCCCAGGTAAAATCCTCAACATTGGGCCTAAGAGAAATGCTTAACAGATGCTGAACATCCAAAAACCCATTTTGAAGCTTTAAACAAAATATAGGAAATAGCTGTTTTATTGCTGGTGCTGTTGAAATTTGGAAATAACTGAGTGAGCACTTAAAAACAGAACTACACACTTGAGATAATTAAATTACAAAGGTTAAACAAAGAATCGTATAAGTATTGGCACATTTTCTTGCAAATATTGTCAATATCTGACACTTGGGTCAGACCTTAAGTGCTTTGGAAGAGATGTTAGCTATCAACAATCACCCATCTGTAATGCCATATCTAAATCCAAGTCGACCTGGAAAACCAAAATGTCAGCATCAATGTCGAAATCGACACCGACCTCAAAACTGCTCTCAACTTCCGACTGTTCTAAGTCTACCAAGAAAAAGAAGTGTTCCTTGGACTCTCCCACTACCAAATCTAGGCTTCCATCCTCTGCGCCTGACAAAACTGCCTCTTCACTTCCCATCCAGGACGAACTGACTGTATGTCTTGATTTTCCTTCTGTGGACAACAACTACATCCCTCCGCCATCTGGACATCCACCATCTTCTCTGCTTACCCAATCACCAGACTGGGCAAATACTTTGGTTGAAGTCACAGTTCTACCTCAATCGGTCTATTTGAGCTGGGACCATCACCTGCTCCTCTCAATACTGCACACTCTTGACAATCAAAAAGGCCCACAGCACACCCATCCGCTCAGTTAATGCCTTCCAAACAACACGGTACAGGTAAATCCAAATGTTATTCTCTTTCACCTCCCCATGAAGATCTCCCTCATGCAACCGGCTCGCCATACCAACATTCTTCTCCACCATCTGACTATCAGCCATGCTCATCAACTTTCTGATGTTCCAACTCCTCACCACCACATGAGTCTCCAACCAATCTACCTATGCCTGATTTGGATGTAGTTGATGCCAATCCACTGTCCCCATCTGAGGATTTTCCCTCTTACTCACAACTCATTACAGTGGTGCCTCGCATAGCGAGGTTAATCCGTTCCGGATTAACCTTCGCTATGGCGAAACATCGCTGAACGGGACGGGGAAGCCCATTGGAACGCATTAAACATCGTTTAATGCGTTCCAAATGGGCCGAAAACTCACCGTTCAGCAATGCTTCCCGGGTCCGGCAGCCATTTTCACGCCCTCGGTAAGCGAGGGCAGGGTGCGAAAAAGCTGTGCGCGGCCATTTCGGGGCTTGCAGCGGCCATTTTGGAGCCGCCGAACAGCTGATCGTCGGGCTTCATTTTGCGAAGATTTTTGCCCATAGGGGCCATCGGTATGCGATCGCATTTGCGATCGCAAATAGGTCATCGGATGCGGATTCGTCATTCTACGGTGCGCTCATTAAGCGAGGCACCACTGTATCTGTATAGCAAATTTCATGGACCTTGATGACCAACAACCAGTACCAACAGAATCTTACAAAGTCTATGAAGACATCAATCAAGACCAAACCCCTCCACTCCCTCTGGGGTTTATCTCTTCTCTTCTTAAGCTAATCAGACAATCATGGTTCAAACCCTCCTCAGTACCGCAAATCTCCAGGTGCATTGAGAACTTATATAAAACAATACCACCTTTCTCTCCAAACATCCACCTCCCAATTCAGTCATAGTTGATGCTACACAAAATCGAGCTCGCAGTCACTCTAATGCAGTTTCTGAGAGGGCAGAAGACTTGACATCATTGGTCGTAGGGTCTATTAACTAGCTCAGGGGTCCCCAACCCCCGGTCCGTAGCCCGGTGCCGGTCCGTGGGATTGCCAGAACTGGGCTGCGGACTCGGATCACCGCCCCCCCACCGTTCCCCCCGCACCCCTTGCAAATGCCCCTTTCCTGCAGGGAAGCCATCGCAGGGCAGCTCACCCAGGAAGCGCCAACAGCCGGCCACCGGGATCAGTGCTGCCCCACCCAGGTAGGAAAGATGGGCTGGCCCAGCCGCACTGCTGCTCATCCGTGGAACTTCCGAGGTTCTGGAAGAGCGGGTTCCCCGCCGCCGCCCGTCAGTGCAGTTCGCTTTCCGGGACCTCCCGTTGGGGCCTCACTCCCGCCCTTGCTCATGGCGGCCTTGCTCGGCTGCCCTCGCCTCCTCCTTCTCTAGCAGGGGAAGCTTCCTGCGCCGATGGACGGCATGCAGCCGCTCGGGCAGGGAGGGGGACGTGCCTACCTTGGCCCCAAGATGCAGCCCTTGTGGTTGCTAGGGCAGGAGCAGCCCCACCCTGACCACGGGTGTGTGTGCATTCAGGCAGCTGGTGTGAAGGAAGCGGTGGCTCTTTCCAACACGACCGCTCGGCTAACAGCAGCAGACGCTGCTCCCGCCCCATGGCCCCTGGCGCTGCCAGATCCAAAGTCACTCCGCTTCCTTCACGCCAGCTGCCCGAATGGGCCCCTGGGTCAAGCCGGGGCCTCTCCTGCTCCAGCAATTGCAAGGGCTGTGTCTCGGGGCCAAGGGAGGCAGGACAACGAGGAAGACCAGGACCCGCAGTCACAAGCAGCTGGAGGCAGAGGCAGCCCGTGGCTCGTCTTCCCCAAAAGTGTCCAAGAAAGCCTTCGATCGGAGGAACCCCAGNAAGGCCGGCCCCGGGGGGGGGGAGAGGCAGGCTCGCAAGGGAGAGCAGGCGGGCTGTCAGGGCTCCTCTCCTTGCCCCATTGCCCTACGGTACCAGTCGGTTGCAACGGGGAGGTTGCTAGTGGCCAATGGCCCGGGGCGACTGCTGTCGTTGGTGCCGCTCCTGCTGCTGGTTCGGCAGTGGCTGCTCGCCTTCTCTTCCTCCCCCCTCCGCCTCCAGTGGGCAGGCATTTTTCTTGGTGGGGGCCGAGGGCTGGGAGGTCCGAACAAGCCTGGATTTAAAGAGACCGCAGCATTCTTCTGTGGCGTGATTGTGGGGTGAGTGTCTTTAAACCTGCTCCCTGCCTGCTGAAGTGGAGGGTTGTGGCTGGACACTGAGCTCCCCCTTCTCTACATGTGGGTTGCTGAACCCGAGGAACGCAAGAAGGCAGAAAGCAGAAGAAAGCTGCTGTCTCTTTAAAACCGGTCTTGTTGGGGCCTCCCAGCCCTCTGCCCTCCCCCCTCCCCTTCCTCTGCAGCGAAGACTTTCAGCTAAACCAGCCCCTGGGATCAGGCAGGCTTTGCAAAACAAGCAGACAGCCTGACAACTGCAGTAAATTCCTTTCCTGGAGATGAAACAGAAGCATTTCTTCCCCCCCACCCACACACACACACGTGTACTGGGGGTGGTCCTGGTGAACATGTGATAAAGCTCTAGAATATTCCGGAAACTTCTGCACAAGCACAGATTAAACCCTATCGTGCAAATTCACAGATGACCATTTGAAGAGTAAGATAGAGTTACAGGTGAGTAGCCTCTCTTTTTTCCTCCAGTTCCTTTCTGAAAATTGTGCCAAAATCAACCTGGTTTATTTGCATGTTCAAAATATTTCTGCTTGAGAAATAAGTTTCTTTTGCATCTCTTCAGTTTGTAAAAGATCTAGTTGAGCTTTAAGCTTCTTTATTTCTCTCATTATTTGTTTGTTGCCTTTTTGTTGATGGGTAGATTTTACCTATTAACTTTATTGTTTTGCTTTCTCTCTCCTTTTTTATTGGAGTGCATATCAGATTTCCTCTCATATATGCTTTGCTTGTGTCCCAAATATTTGTTATCGGGAGTTCATAAGTCATATTTATTTTTAAAAAATTCTTCCAGGTCTTTTTTTGCACTTTTTAAGAACATCCCCTTCCATCAGTAAGTTATCATTTAGTCTCCATCTTCTCCTTGTATTTCCTTTCTTCCTCCATGTTATCTTTATAGGATTATGATCTCCTATGATTTTTGGTAGGATTTCAACTTTTTTTAAGTTTCTAATATTAGTTTTTGATAACTAGATGAATCAGCTTGATGCCTGTCTGAGGAAAAGGTATAGTGTCTTTTAAATGGGTTAATTCTTCTCCATCCATCAACTGTAATACTCCCAAAAAAGGCATATTTTGTATATGTTACTTGTTAGTTGTTAGTGTTGTTAGTTTGGTAGAGAGAAAAAAAAATCATGTCAACAAAGATGACCCTGTTAGTTAATGTTAGTCTTTAAATGCTTCGCTGGCTGTAGATCCGTTTCCTGGCGCAATTCAGAGTGATGGTTCAAACCTATAAAGTCCTAAAGGGCTTAGACCTAGGCCACCTTAAGGAACACATCTCCCCTTTATGAGCCTGCCCAGCTGTTAAGATCAGCCAGAGAGGCCCTTCTCTTGGCCCCACCACCCTCACCGGTGTGCCTTATGGGGACCCAGGAAAGGGTGTGCTCTGTTGCTGCTCCCAGACTTTGGAACTCCCTCCCACTGGAGGCCAGACTGGCCCATCTTTGCTCTTCAGGCAAGTTTTTTTCTGAGTGAATGGCTGCCAAGTGGGGTTTAAAAAAACAGTTGTTACACCTTACTGCATTGCGTATGTTTTTTGGTCTTCTACTGGTATTGTTTTCACACCTTTTTGTTTGTATGTATGTATGTATGTATGTATGTATGTATGTATGTATGTATGTATGTATTTATGTATGTATGTATGTACATTTGTTTGTTTGTTTGTTTGTTTGTTTGTTTGTTTGTTTTTTCCCCTCCTTTCTCCTTAAAAAAAATTGATCCTTTTAGTACGATATATGCATTGTTATTAGCTTAAATACTGTATTTTAATTGTTGTAAGCCAGTCTTTTTAAAGGAGAAAGGTGGGTTAAAATAGTTTAAATTAAATGAAATTAAATTAAAACTCCACAGTGCTTTATTTTGAACAAAATAAGCTGCAAATGAAGGTGGGGAAGAAGAAGAACAACAACAACAACAGACTGGCAGTAGGCTTCTTCCTCTCACCCATGCCAGATCTCTTTCATTTGGTCCTTCCTGTTCCACAGAGGGTGTCGCTAATATTCTGCCTTGCTTTTCTTTCCTCCTTTCCCTCCTTGTCCTCCTGTAGTTCTCCAGGGATCCCTCCTGAAATAGAGCTTGGCTTCCCTGCTTCCTTTGCCCTTCTCCACCAGCAGAACTGCTTGCCTCACCCACACTATTGGACCTCTTAAATAGGAATGGATGCATAATGGGGGGGGGGGGGATATTACGGTAACCTGCGGGTTT